GAGAGCGGATGAGAGGGTTGTACACAGTTAATCTAAGCCCTCGTAGGATCATCATCCATAAATCAAGATGATCAAACATGTCTCGATGAGTAAAGTATGATCTACCACTGAAAGTGTCGAGCGCATACTTGCTGTGATAAATCTTCCGGAAAGATATTCAGACAACAAGATAATTTAATTAAACATCTAATAAAAGCATCCTACGAGTAATTAAGTGATACTATTATTCGCTACGAGACTTAAATTACACTTTTTTTTACCATTTACTGCAAAGCACTTTTCTCAAAATTCTTTACTTACATTCTTGTAATTTTATCATTCTGAAAGTTGCACTTCTTTTCAACCCTAGGAAACATATTAACAATCGAAGTGATTCTTGTATGCACATGCATCGTATATCGATCTACGCGTATATATTGATTCTAGCGGAAGATTAAATTTTAGGATCAGCAAGGATATTGAAACACAAATTGATACAAGATATGGAATCTCGAGCTCGCATATGCAAAACCAGATAAATCTGTTTCAATCAAAATTGAAATACGCCCCGACATAGTGAACACAGATTAATTATTGTGAGATAATACATATAGGCATTCCCTCGTACACAGCCTGTTAGTATCTTGTTATCAGGTTGGACAATGCGACATTAGAAAGTTTCTTCTGCTTGTCGAAGGAACGTAATAATTTAGTCGACTGAAGCTAGTTCGTTGTTATTAATTTTGACTGCGTTTTAAATTGAGTATGTTAAAATAAAGGCATTAGTTTGCAACCAGATTTTAGGATATTTATTTTGTTTCACTTTGTTTTTGCATATTGTGTAATTAATTGTGAAACTGGCGAGTATAACTACTATTTTTATTCTACTACATTTCTATATAGATTTTTCGATCATTTATTTTCATTTGACGTTCGACAATTGTTCACTGTCTTACAGTCAGACTATACAGTCGCTTAAAATGCAGAAGGGTCTGTGACACGATACTTTGTCACTTGAAACAGGTTGCCACGATGCAATTTGCATAATGAAATTCATGAATTTTCCGTCGTCGATTTTAATTACGAATGACGAGCAATCGACTGAAATCTGAAATAAAATTAATCCACTGTGTGTAATTGAAATATTAATTCCGCGGTAAAATCAGACCGACATCCTTCCAACCGCTTAAACACTTTTTTCTTCCTTCGCGATATTTCAATTACTTGTAAAATTCGTAGCGGCGAATATTCTCGTAAAAGTTACAACGAATGTTACTTTACTACTTCTTTATTCACGGTAATACTTGCAAAATTCTTAGTAACGAGTGTTCCGATGAACTATTGAAATGCTTGAATTACATTAAGTAAAATGATAACGCGTTTCCAGTATTAACATTATGACATAACGATCCACTTTGAGCAAACTGTGCAGCATTTGAAACGTTGCCTGCGGCTTTATCATTTTGAAACCCAACGCCATTTTCTAGTAAAAACGTCATTTTAAGAAGCTCTACAACTAAAACACTCCTTCACCGGGAAAACACGAGAAATTAATATGGTATGTTGCGGCCTTACACAACACCCCGTTCTCTACATCATTCATTGCACAAAAATTAACCAACCTTTGACGAGCATTTCAGACGCAACTTATATGCAAACTACACTGAGAACCGTAGAATCGATCCACTAAAAAATATCCCCTTATTCAATATTCCAATTTAACGCCTGAAGCTCCGTTCCCTGTATTACAATATTACGAAATTACAATAAATAATGCAGTTCTATCATAGAAGTGCAGCATCGGGGCCTCCATGCTCAAATAGGAAACCTCGAAGGGAGAATAGAGAGGGGGTAGTTGGCGTAGTGCGCAAAGCCTCGGCTTGCTAAGCCGAAGGTCCCGGGTTCGATTCCCGGTTGGGTCCCTCAAAATTTTTTCGTCGGTTCCTACATCTATAATGTTTCATAGCGAAACGTGTTAAACACAAAATTCTCCTACTCTTCGTTTATCCCTTTAAATAAATATCTACGCGAAAAAATTGATCCCTCGATTTCGCCGCGTAACATTCCAGGATAGGTCAATACCAATGAAAAGAAGAAAAAAGAAAAGTGAAGGTAAACTAGGGAAGAATTCAAAGCAGAATACTCCATTCGATAAATATACATTCGAGGTTGTTTGATTAATCGAATTTCAAGGGACGCCCAACTAAGACATTAATGAATTTTCCGTTGTGGGATTAAACGAACTGGCCGCCTCTACGAGCAATTGACAGGCGCTGGATCTTGACCGTTTGAATAATTGAAAATGGATACCGCGTATCGGATCAGAAATCGCCGGAATTAGATTAATTAAGCGTGGGGTCGGTTTGTCTGCTGGTGCACACGGGATGACAGCAGCCACGTTAACACCGTGTAAAATGTATTACTCGCACACGTTTAACTGGATTATTTTCTAATTTCGAACGGAAGTTTGACTTTCACGCTGTGTCCCGTGTATCTGTTGGACGAATGGCCCGCCACGCTTAAAGTCATCAACGGAATTCGATCGAACATTTTGATTCCGTTTCATTAATTCCTGTGCAACTGGACGCAGCGAGGATCGAGGACGTGAAAATTTCGAATCAGTTTGTTTCCAGGATCGGGCAATATTCGTCGAAGCTGTCACGATGCTACATTTACATTTAGAGTATCTGTTTATGATCACGTTTATAACATTTGTCTTTCTTTTTCGTTAATGTTACCGACGAAAGGATTAAATTGGAATAATTTTGACGAATTACATTTGAAATCGTACTTTTTGCCCGGGCACGTGTGTAAAAGTGTTTGGTTAGATTTAACGAAATTGAACGAACGACCTCCTCGATTCTCCTGTTTAAACGAAGAGCTTGACATTTTGTCCAATCCGTTTCTCTGGATAACGAGTGGTTAATTGTAGGATATTTGATGGAAATCTCGCAATTTCAAGTAACTCGAACGTTTCTCCTCTTTATCGTACTCCTCGCAGAAGTTACGAGCCGTAGAATTATTGAAAACCAATTGCGTTGAAGCTAAGAGTATTGTTTTTGGATGGACAGACATGTATGGAAGGATCGGAGACAGTTGGAATACAAGTGACACTTCCGAACACACGTGATACGTGAAGGATAAACGAATATACCGATACCAACACGTTAGAGTCTTGTAAAAGAGATTCACACGTTTGAAGTGATACTTCTAAACACACGTTGTACGCAAAGGAAACTGTTTCAGAACTTGTAGAACTACTTGAACATACTTGAACGACGCTCGCTCATGCATATTTCAAAGAGACATTTTGATAACGCGAATACCTGCGCTTCCTCTTGGTGAAGATCAGGACACACGTTGTACGCAAAGGAAACTGTTTCAGAACTTGTAGAACTACTTGAACATACTTGAACGGCGCTCGCTCATGCATATTTCAAAGAGACATTTTGATAACGCGAATACCTGCGCTTCCTCTTGGTGAAGATCAGATTTCTCTGTGTGTGTCAACTCAAGTTGATAGAGTTTAATGTTAAAGAGTGACAACTAAACTAGAGTCGAGTGTTGTACTGTCGATTTTCAGGATCTAGTCGCACTTTATTGTACTCTGAGGACAAATGTCGCAGACAGTAGCACATCTTTGATGGATTTGCTACAGAATCTCTCCTTTGTCAAATTTCTTGCTCCTTTGTCCCTTCGAGGACGACAGACTCGTATATGCGTTGACGAAACTTTACGAGCGCAACCAATAAACTCGCATTTTTTTAAGTGGGAAAAATAGTTGACGTGATTCATGCACGTGTATTTGAGGAAAGTGTGATTTTCGGATGATTCAGTTTTATGGAAAAATTGAAGTGGTGACCTAATTACGCGTTGTATCAGTATTTCGAGTTATACTATTTGGCGTTGACTTGATTCGCGAATTTTTACACCCCTTTGCCCTCAAGCTCGTTTAATTATTAAACCGCAACAACGCTAGTATAAATATAAATAAAAGAGATCTTCGTATAACACAAGTGTGAAAAGCAAAGCAGAATTAAACGCCGCTATAGTAGACCAAGGAATTAAATAAAACTAAAAGAAGAAAGGTAGAACATTGCAATAGGAAGCAAAGCGCGAAACACGAAGAAGAACAAGTGTCTTGTCGTTGTTTCTTTAAAAACGTCGTTAATTAGAAATTACTTGCGTGTGTCCTAGAAAAATTTCACCGAGCGTGTACGCGATACAATAATAATGGAAGACTGATTCCCTCTCATAGAAATTGATGGAGTAGTCAGGGATTAATTCAGTTTGTTTAACTCTGTATCACCTCGACATTTGACCACGCTTAGTTCGCAATTACGCGTGCCTTAACCCGTCCATTTTACGCTGTGCAAATTTGTATTCCTATGTTTAATGTAAAACGACCATAAGGGTTTTCGTGTGCTGCGGAATATTAGGCATAATTAATTATCCCGTTTGTACCATTGGTATAACATATTACGACGATATCGATATTTATGAACAGAGTGCTTACTACGTGATATCGGGCCGCGGTGTCATATTGTTAATGGTATTTTACTTTCACGGCGCAAATTATACTTTTAACGGTGAAACAATTACAACAGCTTTCCATATTTATATTTTTTTATAAATATTTGCTTGTACGTTGCAACGTGATTTTGTGTCAACGAGACTGTTCGATCGGGAAAAGTGATCATACGAAAGAATTATTTCAACTACTGTTTCAAATTAATATCTGTATAAAATTCTGCATTTAACTCGACCACATCTTAATAAATTCTAAGACATTCTCATCATCATATCTCGACTAATAAATTAAAAATTCAACATTCTTCATCAGTATCTAAAACCACTTTTTACTAACAAAATAAACTGCAACGTCGAATTTTCCTAAACAAGGAATTCTTACGGAGAGAAAATTGCCTCAATTGAAAATTGTCTATCTTGAAATTGCAAACCCCGAAAGTTCTAATTATAAATTTCTTTTGTAGTTCGAAGAAGACGAGGATGCAGGCGATACAAATATCGAGCTGATCGACGGTTCGGGAGACATTGACATTAATATGACCGACGTGAGTTGCGTGATAAAGCTGAGTGCCGCTGAAAACTTGCCAACAATATGGCACGCTCACTAATTATTTGTTTCACAAGCAGCACTGCGACTAACCTGATTGCATAACACTTAATTCCTTCCGGCAGTTCGCTAACGAGATACAAACTTCTCGATCTCTGAGAGAGCATCGTCGACGAGTAAATTTCGGAAGGAGAATATTTTTCATTATCAGCTGGAATGGAATCGAAACTGGGTCGAAAATAAGCGAAAAGGAACGGGGGAGAAATTCAGACGACCAACTTTCACGTGAATACTTGTTAGCTGGTAGTCGTTGTTAACTTCGTAACTACTAACAGTAGCAGTAACGACTGTTGATTTTTTTCTAGTCGGTCAGAAACGGGCCATTTCCATTTAGGAACTTCCGATAATCGACGCTCGATCGCGATACAGAGTTTAATGAAATTTGTTGCTTCTGTTTTCGACCGCGATTTTTCTAACCGACCTGTTCTTGCAACTTGACAGGAAGCACGATGCTACTTAACGCTTTGTATATAGGACTAACTTTGCTTCTTTCAAATGGTAATTCTCTCGTTCGTTGAAATTAGCCAGAGGAACTTCAACGAAAAAGGTATGTTCTTGTGTATTTATTCCGGAAGATTTAATAGGTGTTTGGAGGAACGAGAATTTCGTAGGAATGTTTACAGCAAGCGATTGAGAGTTAGAGGCGCCAGAGAAAGAGAAATCTATTTAAGACACTGCGAATAGTTCTAGTACACGTTACAAAAATATTTGTTCCAAGTAGATGTTCAGAACAGAGTGCGACTTGACAGAAAGAAAAATATATTACCCCGCTAGCGATGAATAGAAAAGGGAAAATAAACAAACCGGTGGTCAAACGTTTTTAATTTATTCAGACATAAATAAAAACTAGCAGGTTGCGGGGAAGGTAAAGCGAGTTATAAAATCCTGTACTGTGACACTCATGGAGAAGGAAAATTTTTAAATCGTGCATTATAACGAACATTTATGAATGATAAATTACACCAGCGAGAGTTAAACTTTCGTCTCGAAATGACAAATATTCTTTTGCTTGACAAAAACCAAACACTTACATGTGTATACACAAGTAAATTTATTCGCTAGTCTTCCTCTTGAACCATCCGTGAGACCTGATAGTGATACCTAACTTTGGCATTTTTTTTAAAGAAAATAATTGACTCAATCGAAAAACTTTTCATGAGAGCTTTATTATATTATCCTTGGATAATGTAAAAATATTTTTTTTATCCAATTCCTCTTTAAAATGGCGGCGCCACAGGCGCATTGCTGAACCTCCGTTTCTGACGGGAGACCCACAGTGTTGTCCCCTGCTGTCACATAGTTTGACTTTTAAAAATATAGAGTTTTATGGAAATGGTTAACGTAAAAATAACATAGAAATGACAAGGATAGTCCAAGCCCTTAAGTCACAAGAAAATAAAAACTTTCAACGACTTTACACTCGAGATTAAAACAGGTGTGTCCGTTGATTGGCTGGAAGGATCAAGTAACTCTAATCCTCCTCTAGACTTGGTGTCAATGAAATATTACTGTTTAATTACCGCTTCCTTTAGTCGAAAGGCGAACGAACCGCCGGTAATTCGAGGATAACTCGAAACGCTTGTTACACGATCCGTTTGTTCGATTTGTTATTACGAGATATAAAGGGGAGCAGAAGGGAAGGAGAACGGCGAACATGGGAAAAGAGTTTCCACGTGAACCGTTTTAATTGCAACCCTTCGGGGAGCTGGAGTTATATAAGGCGCTTCTCAATGTCTCACAAAGAATTCCCTTGAGAAACTGTCCAACGAGTTAGAAGAGGAACGCACAGATCGCTTTATGGGGATAATCTTTACGAACATAGCGAGAATCATCTTGGAAATTCTGATGGGATCTTGCATCGGTGACTGCGCTGAAAACGCGTCGTTTCTCAGGAAAGCTTTCCGAGCTTTTCCGTTCGTTGTCGTTCGCGGAGTTCTTAATCCAAACGAAGTTCAGGCCGCGCCGCGTCACGACACCCGTTCCCTAAACTTGCTCGATCTATTAAATCTTTTGACGATTAAATTTAATAAGCAGCCGAAAGCTTCGCTGAACCTTGCTCCTGCTTCTGTGGAACGCGAAATTTACATCTTCGAATTAATTAGATAACATTCGTGGTGGCGAGGCAATTTTTGCGCGTGTGTCGTATTGTTACTCTTCTATGATGTCGAATGATTTAATTTGACAAAGTGTTGTCCTCTCGTTTGTAGTTTTAAGAAACGTACGACGAGGGTAACGAAAGAGAAAACTAGAATCGATAATTCGTTGGCTTTTTACGCAGAATATTCCACTGTGCCCTGTTTGAATTTGGCGCGTTACAAATTGAAAAGTATCACATTCTACGAAAAATGTGTGCTTTAAAGATTCTTCTGAGCTTAGTCATGAGAACTATTATACAACCAAGAGATTAAATCGTGTTTTGGAATTACCTCAAATGTCAGCAAAAATATTAACTGAATTGCCCGAAATATTAATGAAAATTATAGCTTCCCAAAACATAAGCTTAAAGCCACCGTTCCAGCTATTCTTAATTAATCGTTTTCACGGTTAAACACTGCAATGTTCCAAGCAACCAAAACCATCGAGAAACGAGAATTGGCTAAGAGAATCGATAACGAAGCCCTAACAGTTGGCCGTCAGACGCAAGAAATTGAATCCCGAAGAGGAATTAGATTATCCAGGTGAAATTAGCGAACAACAAATCGTTGTGGTGTGGATCGATTCGAAAACAGGTTCATGAAAATGCTATTGCCCCGAAGGTATTTCCTCGAGTTGGGTGGCTGCCGATGATGAATAGAAGGCAAGGGATCGGAAGGTTTGCTCTGTGGCATTCACAGAGAAATTGAGTCTGGCGGGGTCGAGGGTATCAGAAACGACGCTAGAAGACTCGAAAATATAGGGAGACAAGAGGAGAGGGATACAGAGAAATAGAAATAGACCGGGGAAAGAAGGAGAAGATTGGGAAATAGAGGGAGAGACGTAGAACGTGTGAGAGAAACGAAGAGAGGTCTAAGACGAACTTTAGCTCTTGCCACCCACGCGAGCAATTAGGCGAAGCGATGCAGTTCCTTCGAAGTTAAACTTACCAACTAGAATTGACTTTGATTTGTCCTGTTGGCCGCAGCCGAGAATGCTTGAACGGTTTTGATCCTCGGATGCTGCCACTGAAGACCGGGACTTTTACGAAAAGGACTCTCCTCCGGTTGCGGTCAAATGAACTTCAAGCGTGAACTTTCAAGTCAGAGTTAATTAAAATTGGGGAAATAGATTTGTGCATTTGGATGGTAACTTCTGAAGGCAAAAAATAAACACTTTCGATACTCCTAGGAGTCCTTGGAAGTTCGTTCAATCGTTAATTAAACGATTTTCAGTAGAAAGATATGTCATAAGTCAGACATCGAACGAAATTGACGTTTCTTTCATATTCTCTTGTTTTTTCTTTTTAATTCTTGTTTCTTGAGGATGGAATATGTCTCGCGGATGGTTTGAAACTTATAATAAGGGAACAATATTATTTAAAAAATGACAGTGGAACATATAAAATTCAGTTATCTTTGATCTTTGAAAAAGTGTGAAGCAACCAAGTAGGGGTAATTATTTCATGCTATTCTATTCCTTAACGTCTTAAGATATTTCTTCGAACTATCTGATTCAATTATTCTCGTCACTGGTAAAAGAAATATATGTAATCATTCCGTTTTACGTTTTCAAGATTTTATTTTTCAGTAAAACGATAGAAGTAGTTCAGACAACATGCGGCTCGTTTAAAAATGATCCATTCTCGCGTTAAACGTATTTTAATTACTCTAAACGCAGTTCGTTAAAATTTCATGCCGATAACAAGTTTATTATGTTTCAAAATAGACTTTTCCGGGAGTCCTTGGACGGTCCGTTTTACAGGACAATGTTATACAAGCTAATAATCTTCCTCTCGTATCTGACAGAGTTTTAACGGTGTACGATCATCTTTACTGTACACACTGGTCAACAAATATAAACACGCTCTCACCCTTATCTTCCAAGCCAGCAATATGCTGTCCCACAATGCAGCCCACTGACAAACAATTCTTCCGTTAAAGGAGAGCAGCGGTACACAGTTCCTGGCTAGATTTGGCTCTGGTGGGCTGCATTTCCCCCTTGCTCCGTTTAAATTAAAGTTGAAAGACCAACACTCTGTAGACTTTACCTAAATTTAACGAAGTGTGACGCAGAGACCCTCTGTGTGTTCGGCTAGAACGTTCTTCTCGGTTTATTAATAAATCTTGAGTGCTTTATATTTTGTTACTCCGAAGTGTAGAATACACGTTTTATGCGACAGACAATCGATCCTCGCGAGAAGCTTACTTGTTTATTCCTTTTAATTTTATTCCAGAAATTTAACACAGAATAAGAAATTTCGAAGTTTCTGAAAATACCACTTTCAACGAACCCGAAAAATTCTACGCTTTGTGGAAAATTTACGCGAATTTTACAACGACCTTCGACTCTGAAATTTTTAATCAAACCTTCTTCAGTTTTTTCACATTTCTTGAATCAAAGTAATCTTTCCTCCATCTTATTCATCCTACATTACTAATTAAATTCACCCTAATTCATCGTAAATAAAAAATTTCCTCGTAACAACATAGAGAAGACAATTAGGTGTCCTGCTTCACGTGTCCCACTCAGTCAGTATCGCAAAATATATGTGACAATGTTAAAAAAATGATTATACAAAGATAGGTAACAGTTAATTACGATCAACTATCGACATTTCTCTCTCTCTCTCTCTACACCGTAAAATACAGTTTCGAAAAGCCGGATGCCTACAGGGACACCGGTAAAACTAAACTTTCGCAACTTCACGTACCTAATTTCTTTCCCCCTATCCAGTATTTATTACAATCCCCGTTTAAACACGGCTGGAGACAAAGCCGGTGCCCGAACTCGATCGAACGAAAA